GACTGTTGAAGGAAAGTTAAATGGGATGTTAAAATTTCCTATATATACAATAAAGATTGTCGAACATTTCAGAAACAGGTATCAGAAGCCATTCTGACAATCGTGTTAAGGCGTAGAGAGAAAACACTCAACAAATGCCAGTGGTGTTTTGTCACTTTAAAACTGCATCAACGCATTAAAGGAACTCTTAAACGTTAAAATACTGTACTATTCGCAGCGTATCAAATTGAAACGCATTAAAAAGAGACCGGCAGAACTAAAATATGAGTCGAGATTAAAATGTTTAATCACAGCGAAATCTTTATCGTTGCTACATTAAAACTATAGTTTCTCTTCAGTTTCGGGAAAATTCAGCGCCACAATTTCAACGTGTGGCGCTTGTTTATTGTTGAAGAATTGCGTGGTGACGATAGACAATATTGAAACTACAGAAAAACTTGAACTTGCACCTCAGATCATGAAAGCCTGCAATCTCCGAATGAAAATTTAACAGGCCCCTCACGAGCTAGTGGGGGCCACAATTTTGTTGAAAAAAAAAACCCCCACTAAAATTACCCAATCCGGTTTTTCTTAATTTGAACTGAAAATTTTCGGACATGTTTATTGGCTAAAAAGAAGGCAATGCCCGCACTCTCTTAGAGTTGGGGCTGAGAAATGTGATTTGAAGTGGTAAGGTGACTAAAATCCGTTAGGCATCACGTCAGCATAGAAGTCTCCAAATGTCATGTAGAGGTATTCAGGAACTGTTTAAAACCACCTTGGTAGATATTGTGCAGCAAGCCGAGTACAATATTATGCCCATACTGCTTTCAAAGTGTTTCTGTCGGCTCGTCCTGCTTCAACCTTCCCTACTGAATTGCAGGTGAAATCGTTCATATCTCAATTGAAAGCTAAACATAAAAAGGTGAGAGCAGAAGCATAAAAGGTTGGCAATTGCTTAATTAATGATACTGAGAATGTGATTTATGTGTTTGTGTGTGTGTGTGTGTATATATACACACACACACACACTGAATTTACTCCTAGCGGGTAGACCTTAGTACTAGCCAGTATGGAGACTTAAAGATGCTGTATTTCACTTTAAAAATTTATCATTTAACAAATGAAAACTTGTCTTGAAAAGATACGTCCAAAATCACCCTCTTTTGGAATTTCCAGTTTGAACTTACTTTTAATATTCAACAAATTGTAGTGTAAAGATACCCCTTGGCTCCTCCAGGACGTGTTAATACTTCGAGTCAGAGTTTCTATAAAATATACAAGACAACTAGACGATGAAAATTTCATAGTAATTCCACCAGGTTTTAGTTTCTGTCACATGATCAGGAAGATAGACCAAAGAACTGAACATATTTCAAATATCAGTAAATGACACAAAAATATCAATATTACACGCAAATCAACAGAAACACGGATACGTTCAAAAATCGAACACCAATCAAAGTATCTACATTTCATTTATTTTATGTACCATTGGCTCTTGTTGTTTAAAGTTTATTTGGGCTCGTTGGGATAACTCCTTCATAATCGGACGAATAACTGTGTATATAAAGCATTAGCAGTTAAAAACCGAGTACAGTTCATATACACTCAATACACAGTACTAACCTCTTACTCTAACTACTGTCTGCAGGAACAATCTTCTAATTGAATTTTTGCACGATCGATATTAACTATCTTGATTTTTTTGTCTTCCTTAACAGATGCACCTGTTTCGTATTGCATGCGATGATGACAATCAATATTAATCATTTTTTTCTTATCTGTTAACAACGATAGCTTTGTTTAACGACTTATGTTAGCATCTTTTATTATATATATTTCTTTTCATGGGCATAGCTACGAATCTATAATGAAGGGATTCACGAATACTTTGAAACTATAAACTCGGATAAATCTAATTCTTAAAAAGTACGCGAAAGGATCATTTTATTTCAAAAACTGCAACAAGTTTTACTTCTACTTTTCAGAATTACTTAAAAGGCTAGGTGGCTAAAACCCCAGACCCAGATCTAGTTAATCTCATGTCTATTTCATCATAACCTGTCTTATTTAGAAACCGTTGTATAGGTTAACATACGTCTTCGGAATACCGACTTCATTATAACAGAGGTCTTTCCACACGCAAGTTTTTATTTTATTTTTAGACTTTGGTCTAATTAGCCATTTCACCAGTTTATATTACCCACTCAGTAAATACTTCAAAAACAATAACTGTCCAAATGTTTGTTTGTTTGTTTGTTTTTGAATTTCGCGCAAAGCTACATGAGGGCTATCTGCGCTAGCTGTCCCTAATTTAGCAGTGAAAGACTAGAGGGGAGGTAGCTAGTCATCACCACCCACCGCCAACTGTTGGACTGCTCTTTTACCAATAACTAGTGGGACTGACTGTCACATTATAACGCCCCCACATCTGAAGGGGCGAGCATGTTTGGTGGGACGGGGATTTGAACCCGCGACCCTTAGCTTGCGAGTCAAGCGCCATAACCAACTGGCCATGCCGGGCCTACACAACGAAATATCTGGGTTCTGCCCATCGGGGATATCAGACTTACCGATGAGCTACCTGGGGGCTGAAGTGGCTAACTATTGAATACGCGATGTACTAAATTTTCTCACATACTCCCAAATGTTGATGTTTTAGTTCAAAAGCCAGGTCAGGTCACAAAAGTTTTGTATAATTACCTATAGCTGGTTTTGTTTCATATCAACTCAGGGAAGCTACTTTTTACAGACGAGAAATAACTGACAACAACCAGTATCTTTTGACCCAAATATTAAATTTTAACCTCTGTGTCAAAAGATAGCAGCGTCTTTGGGTGGTATTGTTAAATGAACTTTTACAATGTAATTTAATTTACAATTACTAAATATAAAGGGCTTTTCAGGTACTGAAAAACAAAACGTATGACAAAGATTCCCCTGACCACACTGTTTTTAGAGAAAACCAAGAAAGTTTACCCGAAGACTTCTAGTTAACGCAACTTTTTTTTTTATTCCACGTTTACTGGATAAAGCACCACAAAGGGTAGTAGGCGGAACAACTAATAAGACTTTAGCCCTTCGCCAGATTCCAGATGAAGTTTAGAAAGCTTATAACATTTCTATGCCACCGACTGACTTCCAACTTTAAACTGGACGGGCACTTAACGGTGTATTTTATTTTATGATATTCAGGGTCCAAGTAGTGTGACAGTCACTAATCGAGTTACATTTCGCGATAATCTCGAGGGTATCCCTAAAGTTACTTACTACGCTCGTAAACGGTGCTTAAGTGGTAACATAAAGGTTCGTTTATTAAAGCCAAAAAATATAAAATACTAACCGGCAAAGCAGGACTTAAAAATGTATGCTATAAATATGGGTGCGAGTCGCCCCTTCAGTTATTTTGAGCCTGTAGCACACGAGTGTGTGTTTTCTTGCAGTAAAGCCACATCGGGTTATCTGCCGAGTCCACCGAGGGAAAAACGAATCCCTAATTTTAGCATTGTAAATCCAAAGACTTTTCGCTGTCCCACCGGGGGACAGCACACGAATCGTTACTCCGATACAAAAGTAACTTTGATGAGTGCATCATTAAACGTCAAATTCATTTTGCGTCAGTTTCGAGTGTTTTGTTATCGGCCTTACTCAGTTAAGCCTTCATTCGCTGAGTTAAGGCAGTACAGATCAAATGGTTGCTAAACTGGAACGGAACCCTTCGCCAGGCTATGCTTATGCCACAAGAAGCAACTCATCTAACATCCAAGCAAGCTGGAAAAAACGAAATAAAAAAAAATACAACGAAGAAACAGCACAGAAAACAGTAACACGAAAATCTGCAGACTGAACAACACTCGTGTTGTAGCTCTTGAAAGCTTACTTTCTGCGTTCTACTTGCCATTATGTGGTACAACATATATTAAAACATCTATTATCCATGTTGCCCGGTCTGATTATTATGCTCTCGGCACACCTGTCTTCATACTCCTATTGTTCTTCAGACCAATATCCAAGGCGGACTTCCTCCCAAGATATACGAGATCATAAATATTGCAGAATATGCAAACGCCGATATCATCAGTATCACAGAAACTCTCTTAGTCTCGCTATCTCTGGGTAACAGAACTATTTGAGCCGGTAAGTTCAACAGAAACTCCCCAAGCAAATAAACTAGAAACTAATATATTTGCTATGTTTCACTAAACTCTTACATTAAATGTTTTTCTAAACAGTTCTAACCCCGGTCACCATTGTTGGATTATACACTGCCCTCCAAGTAACACACACACAAAAAAAAGATATCGATCCCTTTCAGCCATAGTATTCTATACGAATGATTATGTTATTATTGATCTTAGCAGCAAATACAAGCCCATTGGCTGTACTATAGACAACAAGAATAGCAGACGCCTACTTAATTTCCTTGACGGTCACAATAATACACTATTAAATGATAAATAACACTACAACTACGCCAATAAACAGCGTCTCAAACACGAGTACGTCTGTCGTAATCCAGGCAGTATGAAGAGCACTGGTATTATGCGAAGGGATTCGTTGGCAAATATAATGTGGTTGAGATATTATTATACACTTTTCTTTACTTTCACTCAGAAGTTCTTATTACTAATGATACGGTAAGGTGATGTAGTGATTGAGTTTGATGTAGGTTAGTGGTAATCTACTACCCACCAAAAAGCCTAGATACAACTAAATAAAGGCAAAATAGTCGCAATATGCAACTAACCTAAACAAAAATCTACCATCCTCCGTTACAAACAAAGCCGCCAAACCTGCAGACATAAACAAATAACATAATTTAATCAGTCTGTGCTTTATTACGTCAGCAGACACTTAGCAACCAAACAGATGTCACTAACGTTGTTACAAAATCCAGAATATTATGACATAAACACAAGAATCCCTGCATTACTAAACACATTTAGAAACACCAAATGTAACAACACAGAACTAATTGGGATAGTTTCAGTTCATAACTGAACAATAAAAATTATTCTAATGATTTCTGGAAGTATATTAAACGCTACATAAACAGTGGCTTAAGGAAATGTCATGGTGCGAACGCCCTCTGCTGGCGAAACGTGATTATAACCAGTTACATTTATCATAAGATAACAGTGTTAGGTTTACTGTATTTTGAAACACTACATTCCTCGTTTGGTCCCTTATATAGAGTATTTCTACAATATTACTTTGGCAATATCATTTTTCTTCTCGGAAAAACCGTAAAGGAGCGAATAAAGAATGTAGTGCTTATTAAAAGTACATTAAGCCTAATACTTCTTTATTATAATAAATATATTCGAGTATAATAAAGTTTCGCCAGCAAAAGGCGTTCACGCCATAACAATTATTATTCTAACGACTGGCTTATGGGTCTTCACGTCCGTACATTATTAATGTAGAGAATACAGTATACAGGCGTACATGAGCAAAAGCTGACATTTTAAAGACCCATCTCCAAAACGTATTTAAAACAACTGTTATATGAAAAAATAATAATTTTGAAACAAGGTAAACATCCGTACACAACAATACTTACTTTTTCATAGCGTATTTCCCAGAATTCATCAAATGTAATATACGACAAATATTAGACGAACAAGCCCGATCAATACAACTATCATCAAAACAATTAACAACGGGCCTCGGGCCAAGAAACTGCATACCAATTACCACCCCCCAAAAAAGGGAGGCAATTAGAAACTATACAAATTTCTATCAGCCTTGTTCAACTTATCCCTAATATCAGGTAACCTGCCCTGCTCTTAACCCATTGACTGCCGATTCGCTGCACAGGGTGTGGTCTGTCTCTGGAACTCGAATGCCAGTGTGCTCTGTATAGTTTATTTAAGTGATTTTGAAAAGCAGACTGCTTTGCAGGGTGTTTTTAAGACTTCAAAGTACTAGGTGCAATTTTCGTAAGGGGGTGGTATTGATCAGCTATAAAATTTCGAATTTATTTTTATATTAAAATACAATAAATAAATAGTATGTAAATAAATATAGTATCAAAGCCCCTGCTGCTTTGATACTCGAATTTTCTTAAAGTTTGTTTTAACGCGCCATACTACTGTTGGGCTTAAGAGGGAATTGAAGTATCTGATGAACGCCATTAATAACTTGAGAGTTAGTACTGTCATTATTGTTGATAATTGGTACTGTACTGACGTATAGTGTAAAAATAATAAGGCCAATACTCGGAGCACGTGCCTTGAACGTTTACTCTGACCTTCATGTCAAATCAGGAAGTTTGAGAAGCAGCGGGTAATTTCCCGCTACTCCAATCTCTGATACTGAAACCTTATCTCGTTGTGCCATACATTAACGAAATATTTCTTTATCCAAGAACGTTACTGGGCAGTGTCCTTTATTAAAGTCATCTATTGTATTTTCTGTAAGTCTAACCAGGTGATCCATTGGTTGTCTTGATTTTCTGAAACCATTTTGGATAGCACAAAATGTATTTCTAGAAATTACAGACGGACTGAGACAGTTAGTGATAATTTTTAAAGTAGTTTCCCATAGCAGCCATAGTAAGACTTGTGGTTCTCTGTCTACCATACTTATCCGCTGGCTTTTCGCCTTTATGAAATATTGTGACATTTGTTAGCTTTTAACCTTTTGATTGCGGCTGCATTAAAAGCGCGCGGAATGTTTGCACACTGGCACTTTAAAATACCCACTAAGTTATTCGACTATGGAACTTCAGCTCCAGGTAGAATTGAAATACAATTTACTGGTCTGGTGTATAAATAACGATGGATTATAGTGGGTAAAACGTATTGAATCGATTAAAAACAGAATAAATTGCGTTAAGATACCCCCACCGAAATTATAAACTAATTTACAAAACTTGTATAAGATCCGTTATGGAATATACCTGACCCACGTAAGTAAATATAACCAAGTTAAAAACCCTTCAACATTTTTATCCGTTCTACACTAAGATTTACAAGATCAACATCTACAAGATTTAGAACATAATTATGCAAACCTCCCGATGATGCCAAATAGTTCAAGAAGGGATGGGAGGTGAAATAATTAAAAATGATCTCATATGCGAACTTAGCAAATGTATTTGAGTAAATAAAAATAATTATGTAGCCCCAGTTAATATTTGTTCTAACTCGGTGTTTCTCAAACGGTGGGTGCGACTCCCAATTGGGCTCACGAGCCGTCTGCGCAGAGTCAACATTTTATTTAAATAAAATTGCTGTGATTTTTCTTACTTGTAGAGATAATGGGAGGTCGCGACGACTAAAGCCCGGACGCGGGGTTGTCTGGCAAATCCGGCTGAGAAACACAGCGTCTAACTATATTATTAAGGCCACCAAATGAACAGTTCAAGACTACGATACTTCATTCACCCGTTTTATAACTGGTCTGTCTGATATTACATAAACAAAGAAATATATGTCAAACGTGAGTTATACGTTCAATCGAATACGCTTTATTGTAGTGTTTTGTTCATGGACAAGGTTTGATAACGGTTGACCGTATTAGTCTAGTTAATATAATTAAGCAGCTACTTGATAAAATCTACACCATGCCCGAACATGCACGCATTCCACGTTACAGAGGAAAGGTTTTTGGTCAAGCGCTTTAGATTTAGTTTTCTGAAAAATGTCAGAATGACGAGGATCACCGTGCGATAAAAATACAGATTACACGAACTCATCCAAAAAGGCTACATACAATATTGGGCACCCAATGCCCACGCACAGCTTGTGGCAAAAGATAATATATGTACACACACACAACAAATAGGGATGACCACGATAAAGGACCTTCCATATACGTGTGTGTGTGTGTGTGTATACATCTTGAATCACCAGATGGCGCAACCATCACAGGTTTTTTTCCTTCGGAGTTCTAGTTTTTATTACTTCACGTTAAATTAAGGATTTCTAGCTGTGAACAGCTTCTTCTATTCAACAACTATAGATATTTTAAGTATTTTGTTATATTGTTCTTTAACACGCATTTACCTTTATAAAGTTATACAAAATGTACTCTGAAATACATAAAGGATGTGTTGATTACAGGGATCGAACACTGAATTTTAGAGTTATGAGCCGACCGTCTTGCTGTTGAGCAACCAGAAGGGAATGACTTTAGAGGAATTCATTCTTTATATACAGGTAGTTTCAAAACTATCTAATGTTGGTACATTGCATCTTATAACTAAGCCATTAGATAGTAAAAAGTTTAGTAAACTGTCCTTTCCTTGCAGATAAAGATTGTTTGTAGAAGCAAACGCTATTCATAATTGTAAATAAAAAATGAAGGTGTGTTGTACTCCACTAAACCCAGAATTACCAACGAGGTGTGCTGTACTCTACTAAACCCAGAATTACCAACGAGGTGTGTTGTACTCCACTAA